GGCCATCCACTACTCTATCCATCTGGACCATCCAGGGTTGCACGGCACTCATCAGTGACCAGGACTGTTTGAAAATTAGTCTTCATGTATTTTTTTGCCCAATGCAGCCGTTTCTGCTTGTGAGCATTGGTTAGTGGTGGCTGAATTTATGCACAGTTGCAAGACTCTGAAGGACTCTACACCTTGATGTCCGTGGGACTTCAGAGGCACCAGCAGCTTCAAATATCTGTTTGCTGCTATCTTGATCCGATGCATGGATCTGGCAGAAATCTTCCTCAATGTGCCTTTATCTGTACGAACCCGTCTGTGCTCTGAATCAGCCACAAATCTCTTAATTGTGCGATGATCACGCTTCTGTTTTCGTGAAATATCTAATGTTTTCATACCTTGTTTAAGACATTGAACTATTTCACTCTTTTCGGCAGCAGAGAGATCCTTTTTCTTCCCCATATTGCATGAAAATGATGCTCTGCTTAAAAAATTCATTTTATTTGGATTCATCTGGTGTCCACTTTGGTCCTGCAGCTTCTATATGCATCTCCTGGAGACGTGTCACCCCATAAGGTGACACTAAGCCTTCCTGCCTCATAGCCAGGACTCTAAGGCTCTGTCAAAGGTGAGCTTAACATTTAATTATTTATTAAGTGAATAAGCCCTAGACTATCTATACTATTATGTGTTTTTTCTTTCTTCCTCATATTTGGAATACTTCTAACCTTATCCAAGAAGAGGTGTGATGCTGCCTTTAAGAGCATAAAGGCACTGTGGCGGACCGCCTGGTACCCCGACTAGGTACCTCTGCCATCACACTTCCTAGTAATCACTGAGTACCATAATCACTGCACCGGGACACCATAAGGACTTCCAGCCCCTAGCTGCTGCAGCTTGGCTGGGGTCTCGCCTTCTCCACCCACCCTGGACCCAACACCTGGATCCACTCTCCTCCAGAGAGTATAGCTGTATTGCAGTAATTATAGCCGGCTAATGTAGACACATTAGCCGAGACTTAATGCTGGGAGTAGACTGTTTAATCCAGGCAAGCACTCACAATTTATACACACATTTTAACCCCCAAAAGCCTCGTTTACATAGAATAGAGTACATAAAGCACTACAGTACAAGGAAGGATGGGGTCAGACAATAGCAGGGCTGATGGGAAATTGAGGAGGGACAACGCAGCCAGTTTAAACTGGTCTTGCAGTGTCCCAGGGACAACGCCCTGCTGGGGAAACAATAGGACAGGAAAAAGGTGAAGGGAGAGAGGCACAGACAAGCAATACATTCAGCATACTCCTCCTCTGTGCCTGAGAGAAAATTGAGTCAGGAACTGTACAAACTCAATTATCTCCAGGTACAGAAAAACACACAATTTCACAACACCCCAAAAGTACCCCGAAATCCATGAAACCCACAAGAGTCATATCCCCAGATAGTCCTGATCTGAGTGACCATAATATCCAAAAATAACCCAGATCCGTTCAGTGGTTTGGATTTTCCATGGAAGTCAACTATTAACGTATCTTTTTACATGGCCCGTAGGCTTTGGGCCTCTCCAGGAACACGTGGCAGAGGCATCTTTGACACAGGCACTACCTACAGAGCCTGTTCCCTACAGGCTCATGACCATGTGAGTTGTTCTAATTATCATAAGGATTCAGTACTATCTGCACTATTGTTTCCCTGTGTTTTTTTATTTTATGTTCCATTTTTTGGTGTCCCTCCTGAGTTATTATACTAAAGCGGTCGCCCCTGCTTATTTTTTTCTTAAACGCACTCCACTTCACAAATAGGCTGATAACCCATATAACACTTCTGTATATTGTTATTTAGATGTGGGGAGGGGTATTCGCACACAAGTGTTTCACAGCTGATTTGTTCACCAATTAAATATATTTATAAGCACTGTATACACACACATTCCCTCGTTAAGAGAATCACCTGCTTAAATGTTTCTAGTTTGGGATTCTTTGAAAATCATTCTTCTTATAGGGAATAACGAAAGTATGGTATTTTTACATGATTCCCCCCTCCCTCCTAGTAGATTGTGCATGGAAGAAACATTCAGTTTCAATATGTTTGTTAGAAAAAAAACCCAAAACTAAAAAAGACTTTTTTTGCTAATATATTTTTGTGTAAAATTGGGGGTCGTCTTAAACACAGAATGTCACTGCAGGGGTTATAAACACAAAAACCAAGATGGCGCCTTCCGGGTTTCAGTTAGCCACGGCCCATACACATACCTGGTCTCCCTTCCACCAATCCACTTCTGAATGCTGTGGCAAGGTGGAAGAGGTCCCTATAAGAGTGGGAGCTGCAGCAGACGTCAGCACTTCCCACCAATGGAGCTCCAGAGGCAAGTCACACCATAAAAGGAGCAGCTATATTAAAGGAACACAAACATGTATTCCTGACCCTATAGTGCTAATCCCACCATTTAGGTGGTTTGCCCCCCTCAGCCCACTTAAAAGGAATGAAAACTCACCTTATTTCCAGTGCTGTGCGTGTACGCCGACGCTGGCCGCGCCCTCTTTGTGACAATCAAAATTGCAGATTTTTAGCCAATCCAATGCTTTCCCATTCCTCTATGAGCAAAGTTCAGTGTCTGCATGCAGAGGGTGGAGACACTGAATGTCAGTCACGCTATGCAGCACTGCCCCAGGAAGCACCTCTAGCAGCCATCTGAGACGTGGCCAGTGTAAGAATATTAAATAGTTAACTTGTTTATATGTATTTTATGCTTTTATAAGGTTTATAACATGATTATTGCTGACTGAAGGGATATTGAATACTTAAAGTCAATATACGACAATCATATGCTGACTGTGACAGACTAAGGTATTTCTTCTATAGGATGTAAGACAATGCTAAATTTCAGGATGTCTTGCCCATTCCGATTTTAAGGATATTCTTTTCCAGACGTATGCAAAAGCTTATCTTTCCATTGTCAGAATAACGTAATACAAGGAAGTAATAAATCTTATAGTCTGTACTGTATTTGCATATACCATGGCTAATGTAAGCAAACTATGTATAAAAGCCAGCTCTGGAATACACTCATTTGAGAGTCTTGTAAAGCTGTTGTCCGTGTGTTATTGCTTACAATGATCCTCCATCAACGTTGATTATGGTGACCGAGGGATCGAGAACCGAGGGGATTAGAGTCCATTACAACATTAACCCTTTCAGCTTGGTGTCTAGAAGTGGGATAGAAGTGGATCAGCAAAACCATTTGCGGTGAGTAGCCTTTTTGTGTCTTATTTGACGCTGATTGTCTATGACCCCCTTTGGTTCAGTAAGACTGTATCCAGTAGATAGGAAAGGTGTAAGGACTCTAGTTATATTGAGACTATAAGAGGTCTCCGGTTTATTAGACATTTGGTCTAAATATATAGGGTTTTGGTAACCCAGGTTAGTATCTAAGATAGATACAGGTTTTTGAGACCATAAGAGGTCTCCGGTTTATTATAGGGTTTTGGTAACCCAGGTTAGTATCTAAGATAGATACAGGGTATCTCAGGTAGATACAGGTTTTGAGACCATAAGAGGTCTCCGGTTTATTAAGTCTATAGGTGTTCTGAGCAGCACGGTTTGTAGATCTATAAGTATAACCCAAACTTCTCTTTCTCCCGGTCACCTTTGTTTGTCTTAAGTGTTCTTTGTGGGTGATTGTTTGTCTATATTGGGGACACACTTTGGTAAGTTAGTAGTGTCCCCACTCTGAGTCAGCAGTATGGGAAATGTGAGTTCATGTCCTGAGTGACCAATATATGTATGTATATATGTGTGTGTATATGTATGTATATATGTGTGTGTATATGTATATGTGTATATATAAGATAGCAGTACTTTTAAACAAATGGAGGTTTTAAAAATACATAGGGATTAAGGAGAGAACGCAGGTAACTTGTTTTTCTTTGGTTTTTACCATATATTGGGGCTGATGTGTACTGTAGTCCTTGCTGCTGCCCAGTAGTGATGGGAGTGAGCGCAGGACTTATCTTTCTGCAAGATAGCAGTACTGTATATTAGAAAAGAAATGACTCACAGGTTGTACCTGATAGACCTACTTAAATCTTTTTGCTTTATTCTTTCTGTCGCATAGAAGTATAAGTTTATTACTCTGTTTTATTGTAAGTTATTTCACATGGGATCTATGTGCCTGGTATGATTGTTGCTTTAAAAATACTATAAGCCCACTACACTTATTATGAGAGTGGGATAGTGTAAATGTGTTGCATTGATTGCATGATGAGCTCAGTATATTTTATAACTGAGACAAAAAGTCACTTCATTAGTATTTGAAAGTTAATTCCCCATATGGGATTAATTGTATAGAAACACCAATCAGCACATCTTCCCTGCCCTGTGTGTTTGTTGCAAAGGATCCATACTAAATATGATTTATGTTTGAAAATAACAGAGCAACATTTACATTTTCAGCGGTCCAACACATGCTTTATTTTTCACTGTAAACTAACCTTTTTATTGCAACAGATTCTTTTTAAATGATCCAGTGTAATAACTACTGCTTGTGTCTTCTATGTCTCACATTATGTGTTATTTTAAATTGTGGTATATAGCCTGAATCAGACATCATGGACAAAGATTTTTACCTGTGTTACTAAGGGCTCTTGGAGACTGACCGGTCTAAAGGTTTGCCATGCCTTTAAAACATGGTATAGTATAAATTTTTTAAGTCTCTGAGAGTTCTGAAAGATTCAGGTGAAACCATGTCTGTGTAATCTGGTCCAGATGTTTGTTCAATTTCTATAAGATTTAAGTTGATGCAGCATCATCTCAGATTAATTAATGGAAGTTTTATACAAATATTTGAGTTATGAGCGCGCTATATAAATGGATCCTTTCTTTAAATACAATACTATAGTAGATTAAAGTAATGAAGTTAATTAAGAAAATGTATACATAAGAATCCCTAAAATAAATCTAAACTAAAATTGGTATACCTTCCAATAATATGTTCTGAATACAGCTGTTAACTGTTTATTCTGTGTAAATGGTGATTGTGATAATGTGTGATAAGTGTGCAGTTTAACTTGAAAGTGGTTTAATTTATATGTTGCTGTATTGTTTTAAATTATATGTGAATCAGTTTGTCACAGTCTAGTGATACTGATAAGAATGACAGCCAAATAACCTAGCAAATAACTGTTTTATTAGTTGTTGAATACTAGTGTTTTGGCCAAGAATAGTTGGAGATTTGGAGGTGTTAGTTTAAGATTGCTTTTATATTGTGTCTATCCGTGTTTCCTAGGAGGGAGACAGAGTGTGTAGTTGTGTGCCCATAAATGTGATTTCTGTATTGGCATATCTGCTGGGTACCCATTATGTGTTTCTATAAAGATATTGCTTTGTGAGATGACGTGTAATATTACATGGGATGCTGAGTATAAGTTATATGGTTTGAAATGAATTGGTGATTATGAGTTTAGTACTTCAGTAAGATGTGCTAAAATCTGGAACAAGGTGGAAGCTGAAATGTTGGGATTATGGAAGAATAAGCAGTCTATATTCACTGCTTTGGCATATAAGCAAGATGCAAAGGAAGAGATTGGTAATATGATTTTTGTAAATAAATTTTACAAGTGTTGGAAGGATGAGGCAGGTTTGATGTCTGGAGATGATATAGATCTCTTTAAAATACAGTCATACCTTGGTAATATGTTGCCACAGTATTTCTTGCTTGTGAAACAATTGATTTCAGACTGGGCCAATTTGGATAGCTCAGATTTTCTTACCAAGGTTATAGAAAAGGAAAATGCAGGTTGTTTTGAATTAAGAAAAGATTTAGGAAAGTAAGGTTGCTTATTATGCTCAGGGATTGCCACCTACACAGGCTGAGAGCGAGGATGGGATGGAGCACATAAAGCCAGTGGAAGGGGTGGTCAAAGAGGGGCAAGGGGATGGAGACAAGGAAATCAGGGTTATAGGGGCAGGGGTAACCAAGGAGGAATAGACAGGAACACTTGTTTCAACTGTGGCCAATATGGCCACTGGAGGAATGAGTGTCCACATCCCAGGAAACCCCAGGAAACCCCACACACCCCAACAACCCCACCTTTCTCAAAATATGCCCTGTAGGCAAGAACAACACCAGACCCACTCCCAACACCACTGACCAGCATATCGCCGGGCTGGTATGAATGAGTAGGTTCCTGTGATTATGGTGACCGAGGGATCGAGAACCGAGGGGATTAGAGTCCATTACAAAATTAACCCTTTCAGCCAGTGGAGGTATTACTAGGCTGTAATGTAAACACTGCATTTTCTCTGAAACAAACTGTGTTTACTGCAAAATGCCGGGAATGATTCTACTCACCAAATACATTAAGTTGTATGCTATATGTTACGGTTGCCTCCAGGCTGGCTGGAAGTTGGACCGTAGAAAAGGATGCTCCTAGCGCTCACCAAAGGACCATCAGCACCGTAGACACCATAACTACTGCGTAGCCACCATAAGTACTGCAGACTCCACGAACCACCGCTGCTGGGCTGGTATCTCACAGTCTGCTCTATGCCCTGGACCCACGACCAGGCTCCAGGTTCCAGTAGGTGAACCTCTTCCTTCTGTAGAGCGAAGCAGGATCAGGAACAAGAGCTCTTACAAGAGCTCAGTAGCTAAGGGAGTATGAAGAGCATAGCAATCCCTGTAGTGATTATAGCTGTCCCCTACAAACATGAGTCAAGGCTGCAAGTTAGAGGGTCAAGAAGATCTGATGTTTAATGGCACACACTCTGCTTTTATGAGATTCTGCCCATGCAAGGGAGACACCCACATAATTAGCAGTATAACCAATCGGAACAATATACATTCGGGGAAATTCCCATCCCTCAGATATACACATAACATAATTAAAACAGAACAGTAAAAATACAGTTTTTATACATGTACTATAACTTCCAAACTACACATCCAATCTTCATAAAAATTACATATTTAGAATCAATCCATTAAGGGGAGCAACATATTAAAAACTGGCACAAATCAGACAAGGGGTTCAAAAGTATCTTTTGGGGCCTAGCTGGCAGCATGGTTTTCTGGCCCAAACCGGATTTACAGAGGCCTCTATCCTGGACAATGGGGAAAGTAATCCAATTATCCAGGGATAGAGGCAGACTCCATTAACCACATGTTAGCAAAAGACACAAAAAGACACAAAAATACATAACTCCTATTGAACTGAACAGAACCCCCACATCCCACAAATACAGTCAAATCGCCATACACACTAGGTCCATAGTCATGGGGCAGAAGGCTGGCAATTAGGCTTCTCCATAGCACAAGGAAGCAGGGCAATTTGTCAAATAAAATAACAGTTACAAATGGCAGTTTGTAACACTATATATTAAGCTATATACTGTACATTAAGCTGTATATTATACAATAAGCTGTAGTTGTTCTGGTGACTATAGTGTCCCTCTAAGGTTTGCTCCACCTCAGGTAAGTCTTTCTTTCTGATTAATATTTATGGGGGAGGAAATTAGGATCAAGGAGCAGAGAGAATATTACTGTGATGTTTCAGCATGCCCTCACACCACCTGCTGCATCGTGGGAGCTGTAGTCTGATGAGTTTGGGTTGCTACTGTCTCCATTTTGATGCCTACATATATAACAGCCCCAGTATCCAACCCTGTTCCGTATATTTGGAACCCACATAGATTTCTGAACTTGTCAAAAAAGTGGTATCAATAGTCTTCCATGACAGTGTCAGCCAGACCTACAAAATCTCTATCTTCCCTTTCTCTAGGTCTTTGCGTGGGTGGATAATATCTGTCCCCTTGAACACTTCCTCTACTATTCCCATTATTTCCTCCAAAACTTCCTCTACCTCGTCCTCTATAGCTGCTACCATAACCACCTCGCCCTCTTCTCTCTTCTCGTCTACTACCTGCAATATATCCCCTCTGTGGGCAGTCACTTTTCCAATGTCCTTCCTCTCTACAATATTCACATTGATCTCTACCTAGTGGTACCCTGCTCATCCTATTCTCAACTCCTCTATTCATCTCCTCTCCTTCTCAAGCTACACCTGAAATAGCTACCACTAACATGTCTATTTTCTTCCTCATTTTATGTTCCTCCTCACGCTTTGTCTCAGTTTCCCTATTCATATACACCTTATTTGCAACCTCCATTAGCTGTGATATGGATATCCCTGCAAATCCCTCTAATTTTTGTAGCTTTCTCTTAATATCGCTCTGGGCCTGGCTGACAAATGCTGAGTCTATCATTCTTAAGTTTTCAGGGGCTTCAGGATTGAAAGGAGTGTACAATCTATTTGACTCAAGCAGTCTCTCATAAAAAGCACTGGGTGATTCATTAACTTTTTGTAACACTTCAGCCGTCCTGGACATGTTAATTGCCTTTTTCCCAACTGCCTTCATGCCAGTAATAATGGCTTGTTGATAGGCCTTTAGATGGATCATGTCAGCGCCATTTACGTTCCAAAGGTCAGTAATAATTGCTGACAATCAGCCCAGGTGGGATTGTGGGTCTGTATAATAGAGGTGACCAAATCAATCATGGCTTGACGTTTATTGGTGTACGAGGAGTTATGGGTCTTCCAATTAAACAGGTCGGATGTGGAAAAAGGGACTTAATCAAATACAGGATCTGCCAATTGCAACTGTCCATTAACGTCAATATGTGGTGGGCCAGGTGTAAGTCGGAGGGGCATTTGGCAATATCGGGATGGAAGGGTGCCAGTTGTCGGGTTAGTATGGGACTTCGGCAAGGCTGCTCAATAATAGGTTCCGGTCTGGGAGTAGTAAAATAGGTGTAAGGGGGTGAGCTAATTTTACTAGTCCGCATTTGGTGGATGACAAAATGAAAAAAAACTTAACTTTTAATATATTTATACAGAAAATAAAAACTTATATCAATAAATATATTAAAATATGGTAAGCAGTCCTACTGCTGTCTGTTATAAATATAATATCAATGTAACTCCCAAAGATGGCCAGTAGGTGGCCCTAGAGTGCCTCCCTAAAGTCTAATGAAGCAGATAGACTTTAATTAATTATGTCCCTATTTTATTATTACTTATTTTAATCACTGTCCACCCTGATATCTAGGTAAATTAAACATCTCAGTTTGTATTTTAGTAAAAGGGGACATTTTGGACAAAGCTGGGAGGGCCCCATCCAGTAACTAAAAAAAGACAATATACCATCTTATACCATTGATCATTGATTAGGGGGAGGGGGATAGTACAGAAATACAAGAGTTTAAAACACAGGAACAGATAGGTATGTGGGTAGGCGGGGACAGTAGAGCAGGGGGAGTGCAAATACCAGCTATAAATGGGATTATTTAAAAGTTGCACTATTGAAGGCAACAGAAAATTGCATTAGGCTTGTCAGTAAAAGCAAAAAATTCAAGAAACCACTGTGGTACTCCGCAGATGTGGCCAAAATAGTTAAAAACAAAAAGTTAGCATTTAGGAATTATAAAAAAAACCAGAGTGAGGGAGACAAAATGATCTATAAGATTAGGCAGAAAGAGGCTAAGCAAGTTATAAGAGCTTCCAAATCACACACAGAAGAGAAAATAGCACAGTCAGTAAAAAAGGGGGATAAAACATTTTTTAGATACATAAATGAGAAAAGAAAAGTAAAACAAGGATTAGTTAGATTAAAAACAAAAGAAGGAAGGTATGTAGAAGAGGATAAAGGTCAGGCTGACTGCCTCAATGAATATTTTTGTTCTGTATTTACAGTAGAAAATGAAGGAAAGGGACCTCAGTTGAGAAAAAGGATAAATGAGTCATTTATTACACGTGAGTTTACAGAGGAAGAGGTTCTATTTCAACTGTCAAAAGTAAAGACAAATAAGTCAATGGGACCTGATGGAATACACCCAAAGCTATTAAAAGAGCTTAGTGGTGTACTAGCAAAACCATTAACAGATTTATTTAACCAATCATTGTTAACAGGAGTAGTCCCAGAAGATTGGAAGTTAGCGAATGTTGTGCCCATTTACAAGAAAGGTAATAGGGAGGAGTCGGGCAACTATAGGCCAGTAAGCCTTACTTCAGTAGTGGGGAAAGTGATGGAAACCATGTTAAAGGATAGGATTGATGAACATCTAAAAACACATGGATTTCAAGATCAGAGACAACATGGGTTTACTTCAGGGAGATCATGCCAAACAAATCTTATTGATTTTTTTGATTGGGTAACTAAAATTATAGATCAGGGTGGTGCAGTAGACATTGCTTACCTAGATTTCAGTAAGGCTTTTGACACTGTTGCACATAGAAGGCTTATCAATAAACTGCAATCTTTAAGTTTGGATTCAAATATTGTTGAATGGGTAAGGCAGTGGCTGAGTGACAGGCAACAGAGGGTTGTAGTTAATGGAATATATTCGAAGCTTGGACTTGTCACCAGTGGGGTACCTCAGGGATCTGTACTTGGACCCATTCTCTTTAATATTTTTATTAGTGATATTGCAGAAGGTCTTGATGGTAAGGTATGTCTTTTTGCTGATGATACTAAGATATGTAACAGGGTTGATGTTCCAGGAGGGATAAGCCAAATGGCAAATGATTTAGGTAAACTAGAAAAATGGTCAGAATTGTGGCAACTGACATTTAATGTGGATAAGTGCAAGATAATGCATCTTGGACGTAAAAACCCAAGGGCAGAGTACAGAATATTTGATAGAGTCCTAACCTCAACATATGAGGAAAGGGATTTAGGGGTGATTATTTCTGATGACTTAAAGGTAGGCAGACAATGTAATAGAGCAGCAGGAAATGCTAGCAGAATGCTTGGTTGTATAGGGAGAGGTATTAGCAGTAGAAAGAGGGAAGTGCTCATGCCATTGTACAGAACACTGGTGAGACCTCACTTGGAGTATTGTACACAGTACTGGAGACCGTATCTTCAGAAGGATATTGATACCTTAGAGAGGGTTCAGAGAAGGGCTACTAAACTGGTTCATGGATTGCGGGATAAAACTTACCAGGAAAGGTTAAAGGATCTTAACATGTATAGCTTGGAGGAAAGACGAGACAGGGGGGATATGATAGAAACATTTAAATATATAAAGGGAATCAACACAGTAAAGGAGGAGACTATATTTAAAAGAAGAAAAACTACCACAACAAGAGGACATAGTCTTAAATTAGAGGGACAAAGGTTTAAAAATAATATCAGGAAGTATTACTTTACTGAGAGGGTAGTGGATGCATGGAATAGCCTTCCAGCTGAAGTGGTAGAGGTTAACACAGTAAAGGAGTTTAAGCATGCGTGGGATAGGCATAAGGCTATCCTAACTATAAGATAAGGCTAGGGACTAATGAAAGTATTTAGAAAATTGGGCAGACTAGATGGGCCGAATGGTTCTTATCTGCCGTCACATTCTATGTTTCTATACCAGTTTTGGGAGGAAGAGTGGGGGAAGGGCTACTCTGGCTCTGGAGGATGAATAGGGGGGTTGGTAATCAGATGCAAGGGGGGAGGGGATGTCCAAAGCAGTTGTAATTAAGTCCTTAGTTCTGACCACCATGTGGCTACATTGTTTCTCATATGACACAGTTTAACTCACCAAGGCAGTTTTTCAACAATCAGTTTCCAACAGTCAATATATAGAAACTGATCATAGAATTCCGGCCTACTAGTTACAGCCACATGTACACCCTGCACTAAATTTAAGTCAAGACTGCCAAATGGAGGCCATGCGGCCACCAGGACAGGCCATTCCCTACTACACAGGTTTTTTTTTTTTTTTTTTTTAAACATACAAGACAAAGGACCAACAGCCTTGTGAATCAGAAGATTTCAACAAAACGTCTGATTCAAAAGCTGTACAAATATACACACAGTTTCAACAGTCACACCAATCTCCTTATCACCAGCACCACATCGCACAGTTACTAGGCCCAAACACACACATGCACGCACACACAGGATCCTCACATGCTCAACAATATCACGACGTCGCACGGTTAGTAATTATTATACAGTTAGATAATTATGGTTTTAAAGTTACAAGGTCAGTTAGTAATAGTTAAGGTGTTACACATACAATGTTAAACAGTAATTTTAGTATCGTTAATGTAATATCAGTGGGTATGGTATTTTGAAGTAGTTATGGTATTATGAAGTGGTTATGGTATTATAAAGTGGTTGTGGTATTTTGAAGTAGTTATGGTGGTATAAAGTGGTTATGGTATTATAAAGTAGTTATGGTACTTTAAAGTGGTTATGGTATTATGAAGGAGTTATGGTATTATAAAGTGGTTATGGTATTCTGAAGTAGTTATGGTATTATGAAGTGGTTATGGTATTTTGAAGTAGTTATGGTATTTTGAAATAGTTATGGTACAGTTTTTTAAAATCACAGGTCAATTAGTAACAGTTATGGAGTTACACGTATAACATAAACCAACAGTTTTTTAGTAGTAATATACAATACACAATGTCAGTAATTATAATACATGTTAGTGGTTATGGTACCGTGCATTATTATACAGTTATACACACAATTTACACTCCCACTAGATGGCAGAGCTCAAGCTTTCTAGCAGGACATACAATTTAACCAATTCACCATCTACAGTATATCTAACAATATTTACAATAATCCCAACGATGCTAATTGGCCAGCACCTCGAGAACTATCGAACAATTTACACCAAAACAATTTACACCAAAACAGTCTACGCTGTCCAAGCACCACATATAGTGAACTAGTGAGCGGAATTTACAACAGAACTCATTTAGTCTTTTTTACGCTATCAATGGTCTAGTGGTTGAATTTACACGCCTACCACTTAGCCAAGATAGGGTGAGATCTAGCAAACGATAATATACAATCAAGTCTGCTTAGTCTCGCTAGGTCTCCCGTACCTAGCGAACAAAGTTTACACCCTAGATACGCTAGTCAAGACAGGACACCGGTGTCCGGCATGAAATATTTACACCAGAATTCAGTCTGACCCAAACCACAGTATTAGACGGGCTGACTACAAAGCGTCTAATTTCCAATAAACAGTGCGCCTTTGCTTCTTCCTTCCAGAGGGAAGGGGCCATTTCCATACAACCAAACTGTAACGGACTGTTTCAGCACACAAGGGGTTAAAACCGTTTAGGCGATCGTCCCCTTTCAGAGATGCAGACACAGCTACTGTAGAACACCCAAACACATGAACCGCATGTAAGGGAATGCTCCAAACTCCCGAACGGCATACAATATAGCACTCCAAGCACCCGAACTGGAACCATACGAATCGCTGCTAGCAGACGAATAGGAAAAGCATCCAAGCGGCTTACACTCCTAGCAATCAGTCTCTATCAGCGTTCAGTAAATCCCCCCAAAGACGAGACAAGGCTCCGTGTTGAGGGTCAAGCAGTGGTCTGTTTAATGAGGGCTACCTGCCCAGTATTTATGCAGGTCTCCCACCTGGTGGACACTCCCCTAGGGGACCAAATGGGAGACTGGGACAAAAGACAGACAAGTAGACAAATAGGACACACAGTCACATTATATTCCCTCAATGCATCCTGGCTTCCTCCCCTCTGCCTTGGAGATAATTGAGAAGTAATTCAATTATCTCCCAAGACAAAGGCAAATCGCCATTATGCACGTGGGGATACTACAACACGAATTACTATTAAAATACACTATGTGAGACACATTACAATAAAACTATACAATTAACATGTCCCCAGATAGCTCAGGTCTGAGCGCACATTATTAAGCGAATGGCGCTCAGACCACACGAATACAGTGTAATCGCCATGGAGCCAAAGTCTTTACACAGTCAGTTCTCATGCGAATGGGCTCCATGGGATTCCAAATGGGGTATAACATATTAAAGTAAAACTACCGAACACCGGGCCGTTTGTGCACTTTCACCGAACAAGAAGGGAGGTCGGCGGCTTCAGCGGTGTTTGCGCAAAACTGTGTCCGATTTCAGTTCCATGAATTAAGCGTCGAACACCGCTGTGCGTTCACATGTTTAAAATGGCCGCGACCTCGTGTTCGTGATACGAATGGCGGCCACCCAGCATTCGTCAATTAAGCTGCGGTTAACCGCAGCTTCAGGGAGGTTAATTGCCGGCACACTCCAGCTCCCAGGTGGTCTAGTCATTCGTGCGGATGTTCGGTAGATTGAATCTACCGAACACCGGGCAGAAAAGCACGAATAAGTCTTTTCTGCAGGGAAACAAAAGTCTTTTACCATGGGGCCATAATCCAAAGGCAACAGGCGAGCAACCAGGCTTCTCCAATGCAATGTGGCGAGATTGCTCTCGTCACACAAACCAATTCCAAATACAAACCCCTTGTGGGCCTACCGCTCTATCGGTATCAATAATACAAACCCCTTGTGGGCTTACCGCTCTAACGGTTCCAGTCTTACCCTTTAGTTCCTGGACCTGGGTTCACCCTCATCGACGGAACACCCTGGTACTCACTGCGCAGAAGCCGATGATCTCCTGGACAAAAGGCCAGTGGCGCCGAGACGAAAGGAGGTCCACGCAGTAGAAGTCCAGGGGTGCTGCGTAGAGGATTTGGTAAAAGTTTACCGTCTCAAATCTCTGCGCCAGCTTCCGTGCGATGAGATTCCCGGCCAACTGCACCAGAGATGTAACCGTGTAAGCATGTGAAAGGGTTAATGCTGTAATGGACTCTAATCCCCTCGGTTCTCGATCCCTCGGTCACCATAATCAATGTTGATGGAGAATCATTGTCAACAATAAGACACGGACAACAGGATGGTTGACAAGACTCTCAAATGAGTGTATTCCAGAGCTGGCTTTTATACATAGTTTGCTTACATTAGCCATGGTATATGCAAATACAGTACAGACTATAAGATTTATTACTTCCTTATATTACGTTATTCTGACAATGGAAAGATAAGCTTTTGCATACGTCTGGGGAAAAGTATCCTGAAATCGGAATGGGCAAGACATCCTGAAATTTTAGCATTGTCTTACATCCTATAGAAGAAATACCTTAGTCTGTCACAGTCAGCATATTATGTCGTAAATTGAGTTGAACTATTTCATATCCTTTCAGTCAGCAATAATATTTATAAACCTTATAAAAGCATAAAATACATATGAACAAGTTAACTATTTCATATTCTTACATTCCCCTCTTTGAGCAATAAAAAAATTGCTCATCTTATCGATAAAATCTTAACAGGACAGAGAAACTTCCACATGGTATTTTCAGGGGTGCTAGTCACTCCCTGCGGGACTTTCATTAATTTCTTCACCTCGATTCCCATGTGGTAATTCCTAAGGCCTAGTTTAAAGATGGGTTGATACCCTCCAGTGGCAGAGAGGAGAATTTCTAATTGTTTCTGTTCTGCATTATGGATTAATTTCTGTACTCACTTCCTCAATGTACAACTAAGGTGACAGTTATATAAAATCATACACAATAAAATCAGGACTATAATAACAAAATGATAGAAGAATGATTTCATTATCTGGGATCCAGTAGGGGACCAACCAGTAAAGCATTGTACCAATGATGGGCTAAATCATTCTGAATTTGTGAACTCACCTTAAGGAGTTCTCCTTTTAGGATATGTGTGGCTACCTGTGTGTGTTATCTTTGGGAAAAATATAGTCCCCTGTGTATGTGGGTGCCAACCAGGTTAAATTCTTGGCAAAAAGATCATAAACTGGTACTGGTAATGTGTTAAATTGACAAGCTAATTTAACATCCTTTGATGATGTATGATATAATGTAAAATAGCAAGAGCATGAAAAATGTGAAACATTACCAGTTAACCATCCATTGCATTTAGTGGATTGGGGTTTTAGAAGTAACCATTCATTATCTGTGAGGTTACGCTTTCCTCTAATCTTCTCTAGTTTAGGAATCATTAGTGTGTCTTCTAATGCCAATCCTTGTTGTTGTATCCATAAATACCTGATGGCACAAGTACTCCAGTTACTTAGACCTGTAGTGAATTTCATAGTTGCAACAGTTAAATTATCTAAATAATTATACATTGATTTATCTAAATCCAATCCTATAACCTGTGATTTAACAACAATTGGAGCCCAGTTTGCAGTAGCATGGAAACCAGTCCCTATATGCATGCTGGCCGTATTTAACTTATTCTTGAGGGTCTCCATATCTATAACTATTTCGTATACCCATAGTGGTTTCAGCACCTCCTAACAGTGTGTCATACCATTCCCTTTTCTGCCTTTGTTTGTTGTATTACATAATGTTACAACAAGAGAAGTGATTTTTAATGACACATGTACAGCTTGTAAGAAGGCAGTTGTATTAACACATGTGGACGAAATAGGTGTGTGTGTGTGTGTGTCGTTGTTGACTTTTGGTTCTATGGTAGAGGATAAAGGACAGTAATAAGGTGTAAAAATATAAGGTAGTATATAGTTCTCAATTGTAGTGTCATTCATAATGACTAACATTTGTCTCCTTCTCCGATTAATGATACCAGTTATATAATCATTATTAAAAGTAATAAGGCCTTTCTGTTTACATTGATATGCAACCTTAACTGTGCACATTTCTGCGTTATAAGATCTAACAATTTTCTGTGAACCTTCAAACAAACATAATGCATCGGTTTCATTAGCTGTAGACACATTTCATATGGGTAACTGGTACTTATAAGGGTTACTATTTGTCCAATTCATCCAAATGCGTTCAGTCGATGAGTGCTTGCATATTACATGCTGATAGAAAGGTGGTGTAGAAAGGTTCTTGAGGGGGCGTGTGTGACGAATGCTAGATGAGGGGCTAAGGCCTAATTGGGCTGGGGGTATTGAAGAATTGTTCATCATGTCAGAGTCTTTTTTCCAGAAACAAACAGGTTTCAAACTTGCCATTGACTTGTACTCATAATGGCATTCAAGGGACAATATCAGAGGGAGTATAACAACTCCAGAAAGCATAGCGCACAACATAATCTTGGTCTCAGGTATGTATGATCCTCTCAATCTACGATATGGTGTAAAAGCCATGATGCTTCGCTGAGGAGAAATTCTTCTGTTTCCGAGCGAGGAGTGGTGTTGTCTTCCTTGGTTCCCCTCTTTGGACACAGCTTCACTCGGGATGCGTGAATCCAGATGTCGTGGGAATCTGTGAGGACAGCGGTTCTGGGTACAGCAATCACAGTAGCAGGTGGTCCAAAAGGGTATCCTCCTTTCTTGGTCCTGTTCAGCTGACGGATATACACCTTGTCACCGGGCTGGTATGGATGAGTAGGTTCCTGTGAAGATAAGTGAAAACTGCGAAGAAACATTGCCATACATACCATTCGGTTTTATCAACAATTCCTGTACATATTGTTCTTGTATTAGCTGTAAATCCCCAGACATTATAACAAGCAGTTCCCTGGCCCAGGGTGTGGGAAAAGGTCATCCCATCAAAATCTCAAATGGAGATAATTTAGTCACCTTGTGGGGATTCATTCTTATCTCAGCTAAAATAGCTGGTAGATATCTAGTCCAATTTACCCATGTTCCTGGGTAAATTCTGGGCTTTTCCTTATTAGTCCTATTCATCCTTTCAACTACCCCTGTATTCTGTGGATGATAGGGTATATGAAACTGCCAGGTAACTTGCAAGAATTTAGCAAGTTCCTGGGCAACCCTACTGGCAAAAACCGGGCCATTATCAGAGCCAATCTGCAGAGGGCAGCCATACCTGGGAATAATTTCAGTAACAATAATCTTCACTAGCATCTTCCCTAGATGTCACAAAGGCCTCATGCCATCTACTAAACTGATTAACTATGACCAGTAAGTATTGCTGTTTCTTACCAGTTTTGGATACATGAATAAAATCAATCTGTAAGTGTGTAAAAAGAGCAGCGTTCACACGATCTTACAAAAGACTGTACATGCTGCCTGAGATTCCTAATATAAAATGAATTCATGAAGAATTGAATGGTTCTTGCTATGTGCCTGACTGATGAAAATAAAGCAGCTTGCTTCAAGTATGCCTATTCTTCAAGTATGCCTATTCTCCCCTCTTTAGAGAACAGATCATTTTGATCTTTCTCTAAACCTTGTTTAATCCAAAAGACAGATCGTGGGTATTTAAAAAAAGAATCTCATAACCACTGAAGTGCTGGGCTGTCATGTGTTGTGTGGTGAGATTTGTTATCAGCTGAGTGACCTGGTGACTGGCATGAAGTATTGTATGATGCCCTAGTGTGATAGTAGTAGCAGTTTCAACAGCCATTGCACATGCTATCAATGCTCTGAGACACGCCGGCATACCCTGTACCGGAGCTCGAACTACTTTGGAAAAGAATGCTATGGGACGCATACCGCCTCCTTGCTCTTGTGCACAGACCGCGGCCATGGTTTTACAATTGTCCCAAGCATACAAATGAAATGGTTTACAATACACAGGTAGTCCTAAAGCCTGGGTTTGCACAATAACAACTGTAAGGGCAATATATGCAGCTAGCGTGTCTGGTGACCAGCAGACATTTTCAGGGCTGTCAGAACGTACAGCCTCCCTTAGGATTGAGTCATAATGGGAGCATTCAGGGATCCATTGGTGGCAGTAATTAATCATGCCAAGGAAGGTGAGCAACTCCTTCCGAGTAGTGGGTGTAGGAATCCTCTGAATGACCTCAATACGTTTTGGACTCAATTGTCTGGTGCCTAAAGCCAGAACAAAACCTAAGTATTCAACCTTTGATTTACACAATTGCATTTTGTGTTTAACAACCTTGTGACCTACAGTCAGGGCCGGCCTTAGGGGTGTGCGAGCTGTGCGACCGCACAGGGCGCCATGGAACAGGGGGCGCCCTGTGGCCGACACAGCTCACTCATGGCCGGAGTGCAGGGGAGCTAAAAGAGGTACCTGGCTGGAGGATTAATTATTCTCCACCCGGGTCTATTTAAAAAAAATAAAAAATAAAAAAATCGCGGCAGAGGGGGCGGGGTTTACCGAGCGGCGGAGGCGGGGCTTATCGAGAGGCGGAGACGGGGCTAATACCTCCCGAAGCCCCTGCTGTACAGGAAGAGGGAAAGATGCTTCCCATCAGCCAACTGCATCCACTGGAAAGAGGTAAGTGTGTGTGTGTGACTGTTTGCCTGTTTGTGTGACTGTCTGTCTGTGTGTGTGTGTGACTGTCTGTCTCTGTGACTGCCTGCCTGTGTGCGTGTGACTGTCTGTGTGTGTGTGTGTGTGTGTGTGTGACTGTCTGTGTGACTGCCTGTCCTTGTGTGTGTGTGTGTGACTGTCTGTCTCTGTGTGTGTGTGTGTGTGACTGTCTCTGTGTGTGACTACCTGCCTGTGTGTGACTGTCTGTGTGTGTGACTGTCTGTGTGTGTGACTGTCTGTCTGTGTGACTGCCCATGTATGTGACTGCCTGTGTGTGTGACTGTCTGTCTGTGTGACTGTCTGTGTGACTGCCTGTGTGTGTGAGACTGTCTGTCTGTGTGACTGTCTGTGTGTGTGACTGTCTGTCTGTGTGTGTGACTGCCTGTATGTGACTGCCTGCCTGTGTGTCTGTCTGTCTGTCTGTAACTATCTGTCTGTGTGTTACTGCCTGCCTGTGTGTGTGACTTTCTATCTGTGTGACTGCCTGCCTGTGTGTGTATAACTGTCTATGTGTGTGTTACTGTGTGTCTGTCTGTGTGTGTGACTGCCTATGTGACTGTCTGTCTGTGTGTGTCGCTGTAGCTGTGCCATTGTTTGTGCCTGTGCCTGTATGTGTGACTGCCTTTAACTGAGTGTGTGTGTACATGCCTGTAACCGAGTTTAAATTTCCCCCACCCCTTCCTGTCAAGGCCGCACTTTGACTGACAGACGCTCACTCACTGACAGACGCACACTCACTGAAACACATACACACTCACTGACGACACATACACACTCACTGACTGACACATACACACTCACTGACTGACACATATACACTCACTGACCAACACACACATTCACTCACAGACACACACACATTACACTTACAGACACACACAATTACACACTTACAGACACACACACACACACACACACACATTCACTTCAAAATAAACACTCACAGACACACACACAGACATTTCCACTAACACTCACAAACTAATATTTTTTACATTTATTTTAAATCCACCCAGCCTCCCTGGGAAAGCTGGAGTGGATTTCTTACCAGCAGTCCAGTGTGGCTGCTGGGCAGGCAGGCAGGGGGCGCACAGGCTGAGTAAGCAGCGCTTAGTGATGCCGGGAGCCGGACTGACGTCATATTCTGGCTCCCGGCTTCATTAAGCGGCGCAGAGGAAGCTGAGCAGGAAGAGCTCAGGTGAGTATGCTCCTTCGCTGCCCGCTGCCAGCCTTGGGGGGGCTCAAAAGTGGCCAGCCGGTCAGCTCTTGAGCCCCCAGGATGCGAGGCAAGCAAGGGATCTGCCTGGGGGTTTGGAGGGATGCTTTTTTTTGCCGCCCCCTGCAAAGTGGCGCCCAAGGCAGATGCCTTGTTTGCCTCGTGATACACACGTCCCCGGTGCCTGTGTGTGTTACTGTATTCAGGCAACTTGGTGGGAGGTGGGGAGGGCGCCGTGAAGACTTTTTGCACAGGGCGCCTAATTGCCTAAGGCCGGCCCTGCCTACAGTTGCTGACAGTATCCACAGTGCTTGCCTCACAGCTAGGGCTACATAACAACAAATCATCAACATTTTGCAAAAAAGGACGGAACCATGACCGGTGGTCCATGTTTTTAGAGTATGTTGGAGTACCAACGAATAAACAGCTGGGGAATCCACATAGCCTTGGGTAAGCGTGTCCAGGTAAACTGACAGCCTTCAAAAAGTAAAAACCATAAGTAGCTGTGTCTCTTGATCAATAGGTATAGAAAAAATGCATTACTTAAATCAATGACAATGAAGCAAGTGGCATCATGTGGAATGGCTGTAATGAGGGATGTCACATCAGGGACAATGGGTGAAATGGGCACAATTAAACTATTCAGGGCTCTAAAGTCCTGAACTAAGCGATATGCTGGCCAGTGGTGTTGGGAGTGGGTCTGGTGTTGTTCTTGCCTACAGGGCATATTTTGAGAAAGGTGGGGTTGTTGGGGTGTGTGGGGTTTCCTGGGGTGTGGACACTCATTCCTCCAGTGGCCATAGTGTCCACAGTTGAAACAAGTGTTCCTATCTATTCCTCCTTGGTTACCCCTGCCCCTATAACCCTGATTTCCCTGTCTCCATCCCCTTGCCCCTCTTTGACCACCCCTTCCACGGGCTTTATGTGCTCCATCCCATCCACGCTCTCAGCCTGTGTAGGTGGACAATGTTGCAATCCCTGAGCATAATAAGCAACCTTACTTTCCTAAATCTTTTCTTAAGTCAAAACAACCTGCATTTTCCTTTTCTATAACCTTGGTAAGAAAATCTGAGCTATCCAAATTGGCCCAGTCTGAAATCAATTGTTTCACAAGCAATGAATACTGTGGCAACATATTACCAAGGCATGACTGTATTTTAAAGAGATCTATATCATCTCCAGACATCAAACCTGCCTCATCCTTCCAACACTTGTAAAATTTCTTTACAAAAATCATATTACCAATCTCTTCCTTTGCATCTTGCTTATATGCCAAAGCAGTGAATATAGACTGCTTATTCTTCCATAATCCCAACATTTCAGCTTCCACCTTGTTCCAGATTTTAGCACATCTTACTGAAGTACTAAGCTCATAATCACCAATTCATTTCAAACCATATAACTCATACTCAGTGTGACGAGACCAATCTCGCCACATTGCATTGGAGAAGCCTGGTTGCTCGCCTGCTGCCTTTGGACTATGGCCCCCTTTTAAAAGACTTTGTTTTTGCCTGCAGAAAAGCTGTATTCGTGCTTTTCTGCCTGGGGTTCGGTAGATTTGTTTGAATGTGTTATACCCCAGATAGGAATCCCATGGAGCCCATTCGTATGAAACTGACTGTAAAGACTTTGGCTCCATGACGATTAAACTGTATTTGTGTGGTCCGAGCGCCATTCGCTTAATAATGTGCGCTCAGACCTGAGCTATCTGGGGATATGTGAAATGTCTGTGTGTTATGTGTAAAATGTGACTTTATGTATTTTAAAGTGTTTTGTGTCTTTTTGCAACCATGTGCTTAATGTAGTCTTGTGTCTGTCCTGGGAGATAATTGAATTACTTATCTCCAGGATAGAAGACTCTGAAACTGGTTTGGGCCAGAAAGCCATGCTTCATTTAGTCACAAAGGACTTTTACTAACTTTTGAACCCCTTGTCTGATTTGTGCCATTTTTGAATATGTTGTTCCCCTGAATGGATTGATTGAGAATATGTAATTTTATGTGAATGTGATGTATGGTTTTGGAGTTATGAAAGTTGAGTAGAAAGTATGTTTTAACTGTTTGTATAATTGAGTTTCCTCTCAGGATAAGGGGAGGGAATATGTGGGATGTAACTGTGATATGATTGGTTGTTTTATCCCTCCCTGTGGGTGGTACTGTATTTGAAACACTGTAATAAAAACCAGGCTGGGTGTGCCAGCACCTCAGACCACTGCTTGACCCTCAACACGGAGCCTTGTCTCGTTCTTGGGGGGATTCACTGTATGCCGTTAGAGACTGATTGCCAGGAGTGTAAGCTGTTCGTCTGCTTTTCCTGTTCGTCTGCTAGCAGCTATTTGGGAGGTTCCAGTTCGGGAGTTGGAGTGCTATTTGGTATCCAGTTCGTGAGTTTTGGTGTTCTGCAGTAGCTGTGCCTGGATCTCTGGAAAGGGGACCGATCGCCTAAATGGTTTTTACCCCTTGTGTGCAAAACGGTCCGTTACAATTGGTGGCAAGCGGCGGGATCGTTCCCACAGACTACAGGACAGCTACAGGCAACACCTTTCTTTGGATTTTACAATTTGAGGGCAACGCATGTCCCAGTACAGCGACCCTGACAGCACCAGCATGGAACCAGCAGTGGAGTATGACGAGGGTGCCATGGATGACCGAGATGCAGTCCGTAAAGGCATCTGGTACCAGGCACTGGGTATTGTGGAGTACCAGCGGGGCAAGAGACTCCCCAAAGAAGACCAGCGGTTGCAGAAGCGAGTAGCCCTGCGGATGCCCTTCCTGGGAGAGCAGCCCCTGGAGGAATGGGTGAGGAAATTGGAACACCTAGTATGGCAGGAGTTGTGGCTAGAAGATGCCTACCAGGCGCTCTGGTGGTATGGGGCACAGTACCTACCCTGGACAGCTGAGCATGACAAGCCAGAGGGAGAGGAGTTTGATGGTCCTGGCTTGTTATGGGAGTCGTTTTCAGAGCTCGAATTTGGGAGCCCTACACAAGCCCGGTTCAGTGATCTCTGGGAGTGGAGGGAGAGCAGGTATGACTGGGTCGACGCTCACAAAATTGAGCAAGACCTGGCCCACCTGGTAACCCGGGAGATGGAGCTAGAACAGGGCTACCAGCAACTGTTTCAATACAGCGAGAAGGCTCAGCAGGAGAGCAGCATGACAGACCCAGAGCCAGACCCATTCAGAGGGGACGAGATGGTACAGTTTTACTGGGAAGAACCCCAGGTGGCCGGTAGAGATGGGACCGAGGTCTCTCCACCGGTCCTGCAGGGAATTGGGAGCCCAGTCTCCATTCCCCAGCGGCAGGCTGAGTTACAGGGGACAGAGATAGTCGCTCCTGTCCCCCAGCAGCAGAATGAATTGCAGGGAATTGGGAGCCCGAGCTCCATTCCCCAGCGGGAGAAATTGCAGGGAATTGGGAGCCCGAGCTCCATTCCCCAGCGGCAGGCTGAGTTACAGGGGGCAGAGGTAGTTGTTCCTGCCCCCCAGCAGCAGAGTGATATGCCGGGAAGGCAGTGTAAAGTGCAGGGAGAGGAGAACAGCGTCCTCCCTCCCCAGCGGCAGGCTGAGATACAGGGGGCAGAGGAAGTTGTTCCTGCCCCCCAGCAGCCAAGTGATATGCCGGGAAGGCAGTGGGAAGTCCAGGGAGAGGAGAGCAGTGTCCTCCCTCCCCAGCGGCAGCGTGATTTTTTGGGAATTGGGAGCCCAGTCTCCATTCCCCAGCGGCAGAATGATGCTTTGGGAATTGGGAGCCCAGTCTCCACTCCCCAGCGGCAGCACAGATTATTGGGAATTGGGAGCCCCGTCTCCATTCCCCAGCGGCAGAGTGTCCTACCGGGAATAGAGAGCCCAGTCCCCTTTCCCCAGCAGCAGGACTCTGTATTGGGAGCAGAGACAGTCGGTCTCCCTCCCCCACAGCTAGAAGTATGTATGGGAGAGGAGCTTGTTACCCCCTCTCCACAGCGACAGGGCTGTCTAGCCAAAGGGGAGACAGTCGGTCTCCCCCTCCAGCAGCAGAGATGGGTAACCAAAGGGGAGACGGTCGGTCTCCAGCAGCAGGACTGTGCAGCTAAAGGGGAGACGGTCGGTCTCCAGCAGCAGGACTGTGCATCTAAAGGGGAGACAGTCCGTCTCCAGCAGCAGCAGCAGAGCGGTGTATTTAAAGGGGAGACAGTCGGTCTCCCCCTCCAACAACCAGGCTTCCACCAGGCTACCCTCCCAGTAGCGCTGGCAACAGGGCAGAGTGCCGCTGGTCTCTGCCCACGCAGCAACCCACCAAGTCAGCGTACCCGTACCCAGCACAGCCGTCGTGAGGCACCTGGACATGGACAAGCTTCTTCTCTACCCAGGTGTAGTAACCATTTATTGTGGGTGGGCTGTGCTGTGGATTATTTGTTGTGGGTGGGCTGCTGGACTAACAAGGGCACTGACCGGCAGGAGGTCAGATACCCTGTTAGTCTGTTTGGAAAAGGGGAGAGATGTGACAAGACCAATCTCGCCACATTGCATTGGAGAAGCCTGGTTGCTCGCCTGCTGCCTTTGGACTATGGCCCCTTTTAAAAGACTTTATTTTTGCATGCAGAAAAGCTGTATTCGTGCTTTTCTGCCTGGGGTTCAGTAGATTTGTTTGAATGTGTTATACCCCAGATAGGAATCCCATGGAGCCCATTTGTATGAAACTGACTGTAAAGACTTTGGCTCCATGGCGATTAAACTGTATTCGTGTGGTCTGAGCGCCATTCACTTAATAATGTGCGCTCAGACCTGAGCTATCTGGGGATATGTGAAATGTCTGTGTGTTATGTGTAAAATGTGACTTATGTATTTTAAAGTGTTTTGTGTCTTTTTGCAACCATGTGCTTAATGGAGTCTTGTGTCTGTCCTGGGAGATAATTGAATTACTTATCTCCAGGATAGAAGACTCTGAAACTGGTTTGGGCCAGAAAGCCATGCTTCATTTAGTCACAAAGGACTTTTTATTAACTTTTGAACCCCTTGTCAGATTTGTGCCATTTTTGAATATGTTGTTCCCCTGAATGGATTGATTGTGCATATGTAATTTTATGTGAATGTGATGTATGGTTTTAGAGTTATGAAAGTTGGGTAGAAAGTATGTTTTAACTGTTTGTATAATTGAGTTTCCTCTCAGGATAAGGGGAGGGAATATGTTGGATGTAACTGTGATATGATTGGTTGTTTTATCCCTCCCTGTGGGTGGTCCTGTATTTGAAACACTGTAATAAAAACCAGGCTGGGTGTGCCAGCACCTCAGACCACTGCTTGACCCTCAACACGGAGCCTTGTCTCGCTCTTGGGGGGATTCACTGTATGCTGTTAGAGACTGATTGCCAGGAGTGTAAGCTGATTGTCTGCTTTTCCTGTTCGTCTGCTAGCAGCTATTTGGGAGGTTCCAGTTCGGGAGTTGGAGTGCTATTTTGTATCCAGTTCGTGAGTTTTGGTGTTCTGCAGTAGCTGTGCCTGGATCTCTGGAAAGGGGGCCGATCGCCTAAACGGTTTTTACCTCTTGTGTGCAAAACGGTCCGTTACACTCAGCATCCAATGTAATATTACACGTCATCTCACAAAGCAATATCTTTGTAGAAACACATAATGGGTACCCAGCAGATATGCCAATACAGAAATCACATTTATGGGCACACAACTACACACTCTGTCTCCCTCCTAGGAAACACAGAAAGACACAATATAAAAGCAATCTTAAACTAACACCTCCAAATCTCCAACTATTCTTGGCCAAAACGCTAGTATTCAACAACTAATAAAACAGTTATTTGCTAGGTTATTTGGCTGTCATTCTTATCAGTATCACTAGACTGTGACAAACTGATTCACATATAATTTAAAACAATACAGCAACATATAAATTAAACCACTTTCAAGTTAAACTGCACACTTATCACATTATCACAATCACCATTTACACAGAATAAACAGTTAACAGCTGTATTCAGAACATATTATTGGAAGGTATACCAATTTTAGTTTAGATTTATTTTAGGGATTCTTATGTATACATTTTCTTAATTAACTTCATTACTTTAATCTACTATAGTATTGTATATAAAGAAAGGATCCATTTATATAGCGCGCTCATAACTCAACTATTTGTATAAAACTTCCATTAACTAATCTGAGATGATGCTGCATCAATTTAAATCTTACAGAAATTGAACAAACATCTGGACCTGATTACACAGACATGGTTTCACCTGAATCTTTCAGAACTCTCAGAGACTTAAAAAATTTATACTGTACCATGTTCTAAGGCATGGCAAACCTTTAGACCGGTCAGTCTCCAAGAGCCCTTAGTAACACAGGTAAAAACCTTTGTCCATGATTTCTGATTCAGGCTATATACCACAATTCACAAAGAACACATATAATGTGAGACATAGAAGACACAAGCAGTAGTTATTACACTGGATCATTTAAAAGGAACCTGTTGCAATAAAAAGGTTAGTTTACAATGCAAAATAAAGCATGTGTTGGACCGCTGAAAATGTAAATGTTGCTCTCTTATTTACAAACAAAAATCATATTTACAGTATGGATCCTTTGCAACAAACACACAGGGCAGGGAAGATGTGCTGATTGGTGTTTCTATACTATTAATCCCATATGGGGAATTAACTTTCAAATACTAATGAAGTGCTTCCTTTTTGTCTCAGTATAAAATATACTGAGCTCATCATGCAAACAATGCAACACATTTACACTATCCCACTCTCATAATAAGTGTAGTGGGCTTATAGTATTTTTAAAGCAACAAAAATATGAACCAGGCACACAGATCCCATGTGAAATAACTTACAATAAAACAGAGTAATAAACTTATACTTCTATGCGACAAAGAATAAAGCAAAAAGATTTAAGCAGGTCTATCAGGTACAACCTGTGAGTCATTTCTTTTCTAATATACAGTACTGCTATCTTGCAGAAAGATAAGTCCTGCGCTCACTCCCATCACCACTGGGCAGCAGCAAGGACTACAGTACACATCAGCCCCAATATATGGTAAAAACCAAAGAAAAACAAGTTACCTGCGTTCTCTCCTTAATCCCTATGTATTTTTAAAACCTCCATTTGTTTAACAGTACTGCTATCTTATATATACACATATACATATACACACACATATATACATACATATATGGTCACTCAGGACCTGAACTCACATTTCCCATACTGCTGACTCAGAGTGGGGACACTACTAACTTACCAAAGTGTGTCCCCAATATAGACAAACAATCACCCACAAAGAACACTTAAGACAAACAAAGGTGACCGGGAGAAAGAGAAGTTTGGGTTATACTTATAGATCTATAAACCGTGCTCCTCAGAACACCTATAGTCTTAATAAACCGGAGACCTCTTATGGTCTCAAAACCTGTATCTACCTGAGATACCCTGTATCTATCTTAGATACTAACCTGGGTTACCAAAACCCTATATATTTAGACCAAATGTCTAATAAACCGGAGACCTCTTATAGTCTCAATATAAACCGGAGACCTCTCATGGTCTCAATATAACTAGAGTCCTTACACCTTTCCTATCTACTGGATACAGACTTACTGAACCAAAGGGGGGTCATAGACAATCAGCGTCAAATAAGACACAAAAAGGCTACTCACCGCAAATGGTTTTGCTGATCCATCCATCCCACTTCTGACACCAAGCTGAAAGGGTTAATGCTGTAATGGACTCTAATCCCCTCGGTTCTCGATCCCTCGGTCACCATAATCAATGTTGATGGAGAATCATTGTCAACAATAAGACACGGACAACAGGATGGTTGACAAGACGCTCAAATGAGTGTATTACAGAGCTGGCTTTTATACATAGTTTGCTTACATTAGCCATGGTATATGCAAATACAGTACAGACTATAAGATTTATTACTTCCTTATATTACATGTTATTCTGACAATGGAAAGATAAGCTTTTGCATACGTCTGGGGAAAAGTATCCTGAAATCGGAATGGGCAAGACATCCTGAAATTTTAGCATTGTCTTACATCCTATAGAAGAAATACCTTAGTCTGTCACAGTCAGCATATTATGTCGTAAATTGAGTTTAACTATTTCATATCCTTTCAGTCAGCAATAATATTTATAAACCTTATAAAAGCATAAAATACATATGAACAAGTTAACTATTTCATATTCTTACAGCATGCAGAAGCCAAACACAGAGATATGGACACAAGTCTTCAGGAAGTAAGAGGCCTTTATTCACATTACCGATCGGGTCTCAGATGAACTCCTGTTCCAAAATTCTGAGAGACAAATACCTGGTGCTTGGGACTTTTGTTAACTGCATATCCCCTCCCATACAGTATAACCCCTCCAATATTCCTCAGACCAATCAGCACACAGGATATTCAGGATCACCTTATATGGCAGGCCACATGGCTTGTTGAAGACAAAGGATTTTACTATCCACTTCCAATCAGATACTAATTAGCATATGCCATGTGGAGATTTCGGCCTACTAAATTTTGACCATGCTGGAATCCCATCACAGTAGTCTCCCAGCATGCTCTCACACCACCTGCTGCATTGTGGGAGCTGTAGTTGTAAGAATATGAAGTAGTTAACTTTTCTTGTTCATATGTATTTTATGCTTAGATAAGGTTTATAATCATTAGTGCTGAGTGTAAGGATATGAAATAGTTAAACTCTTTTTGCTTTATATGCTTTAAAATAATGTTTGAAATAATTATGCTGACTTTGGCAGATGTATTTTGTACCAAGGCCTTCCTTCTAGAGGATGTATGACCTCGCTCGACCTCAGGATGTTCCTGTCCCGCCTTTATTCAAATGCTTATCTTTTAACGTCAGACAAGTATGTACTATTAACTATAAGGAAGAGATAAATCTCACTGCTTGAGTGACAAACTGTGTATAAATGCTAGCCCTGAAAATATATTCCCTGAGAATCTGGTTAAAGCACATTTGTGGTGTCCGTGTCTTTATTGCTAACAATGATTCTCCATCAATTTGATTATGGTGACCTGAGAATGGAGAATCGAGGGGAGTTGAGTCCAGAACAGCATTAACCCTTTCAGTAGTCTCCCAGCGTGCCCTCACACCACCTGCTGCATTGTGGGAGCTGTAGTCTCCCAGCGTGCCCCCACACTACCTGCTGCATTATGGGGGCTGTAGTCTCCCAGCATGCCATCACACCACCTGCTGCATTGTGGGGGCTGTAGTCTCCCGGTGTGCTCTCACACCACCTGCTGTATTGTGGGACCTGTAGTCTCCCAGCATGCTCTCACACAGCCTGCTGCATTGTGGGACCTGTAGTCTTACAGCGTACCCTCACACCACCTGCTGTATTGTGGGAGCTGTAGTCTCCCAGCACACCATCACACCACCTGCTGCATTGTGGGAGCTGTAGTCTCCCAGCACGCCATCACACCACCTGCTGCATTGTGGGAGCTGTAGTCTCCCAGCATGCCATCACACCACCTGCTGCATTGTGGGGGCTGTAGTCTCCCAGCGTGCTCTCACACCGCCTGCTGTATTGTGGGACCTGTAGTCTCCCAGCATGCTCTCACACAGCCTGCTGCATTGTGGGACCTGTAGTCTCACAGCGTACCCTCACACCACCTGCTGTATTGTGGGAGCTGTAGTCTCCCAGCACGCCAGCACGCCATCACACCACCTGCTGCATTGTGGGAGCTGTAGTCTCCCAGCACGCCATCACACCACCTGCTGCATTGTGGGAGCTGTAGTCTCCCAGCGTGCCCTCACACCACCTGCTGCATTGTGGGGGCTGTAGTCTCCCAGCGTGCGTCACACCACCTGCTGCATTTGGGGGCTGTAGTCTCCCAGCATGCCATCACACCACCTGCTGCATTGTGGGAGCTGTAGTCTCCCAGCACGCCATCACACCACCTGCTGCATTGTGGGGGCTGTAGTCTCCCAGCTTGCCCTCACACCACCTGCTGTATTGTGGGGGCTGTAGTCTCCCAGCGTGCCGTCACACCACCTGCTGCATTGTGGGGGATGTAGTCTCCCAGCATGCTCTCACACCACCTGCTGTATTGTGGAGGCTGTAGTCTCCCAGCGTGCCCTCACACCACCTGCTGTATTGTGGGGGCTGTAGTCTCCCAGCGTGCCCTCACACCACCTGCTGTATTGTGGAGGCTGTAGTCTCCCAATGTGCCCTCACACCACCTGCTGTATTGTGGAGGCTGTAGTCTCCCAGCATGCCCTCACACCACCTGCTGCATTGTGGGAGCTGTAGTCTCCCAGCGTGCCCTCACACCACCTGCTGCATTGTGGGGGCTGTAGTCTCCCAGCGTGCGTCACACCACCTGCTGCATTTGGGGGCTGTAGTCTCCCAGCGTGCCCTCACACCACCTGCTGCATTGTGGGGGCTGTAGTCTCCCAGCGTGCGTCACACCCAGGGCCGGCGCGTCCATAAGGCGGCACAGGCGGCCGCCTTAGGGCGCACCGGCCTGGGGGCGCAAATGTCCGGGTAACCGGCAGGAGGGAAGCGCACAACTCCCCTCTCCTGCCGGTCACTTCTTGTAGCGTGGCCGAGCGCCAACCTGCAATGCCGCGGACTGTATGGAGGGGGCGGGGATATGAACGTCATATCCCTGCTCCCTCTGTAGCACACAGTGCGGCTGGTGCCCAGCAGGGGCGGAGCTACCACTGGCCCCCTTCTAATCGGCATGGGAGGAAGTCCTCCCAAGAAGACTACAGCAGCAGAAGGCAGAGAGGAGGGGGGCTGGGCAGGACCAGCTCCTCCAACTCCCAACTACCTCAGGCAGCACTCTGGATCCCAGGTAAGCCACCCTCCTGAACCTGTTGGTTGAACCAGTGTGTCTGTGTGTGTATATGTCTGTCAGTGTGTGTATGTCTGTCAGTGTGTGTGTGTGTATGTCTGTCAGTGTGTGTGTGTATATGTCTGTCAGTGTGTGTATGTGTATGTCTGTCAGTGTGTGTGTATATCTATGTCTGTCAGTGTGTGTGTGTATCTATGTCTGTCAGTGTGTGTGTGTATCTATGTCTCTCAGTGTGTGTGTGTATGTATATGTCTCTGTCCGTGTGTCTGTGTGTATGTGTATCACAGTGTGTGCGTGTGTGGCAGTGTATGTGTATATGTGCATATATCTCAGCATTCAAACACCAACACTACACACAAATAAACACCTGCATGCAAACGTCAACACTACATACAAACACACCCCTGCATTCAAATGTCAACACTACATACAAACACACCTCTGTATCAGACACCAAAATTATATATAAACACACACCTACGTTCAAAAACCAACACTACACATAAATGCATGCTTGCCTTCAAATGCAAACACTACATACAAACACACCGCTACAATCATACAAACATACTCCATACAAACACATGCTTACAGTCAAACACACAAATACTGCTCCATGCTAAATACAATCCTGCAAGCATGGGGAATCGGTAGAGCCCCAGCTTTCAAAGCATTGTTGAAGTTGCCCGACAGATGGGGATCTATCTTTTAGCCATCCTGTGTACATACACAGACCGTCATACAGAGACATACAGTATGTATGTCTCTGTATGACTGTGTGTATGTATTCAAAAGGAATAAACGCAGGCAACACTCCAATAGTACGGCTGGTATATTTATTGATAGGTAAACCACCCCAAAGAAAGTGCGTCGTTTCGGCTCAGCAGAGCCTTATTGCATGAGCTGAAACATCACACTTTCTATGGGGTGGTTCACCTACCAATAAATATACCATCCTTACTATTGGAGTGTTGCCTGCGTTTATTCCTTTTGAAGACTTTACTGGTGGATCCAGTGATGTCCGTCTGACACGGAGCATCCACCACTGTTGATGGCCGGAGCATTTACACGGTATCAGTGTGCAGGGTTCTTTGTTTGTCTGTGTATGTATGTCTCTGTATGCCTATCTCTATGTTTCTTTATGTCTGTGTCTGTATTTCTGTGAGTGCCTGTGTCTGTATGAATGTATGACTGTGTTTGTATGACAATGTACCTGTATGTGTAGATTGTATGACTGTGTTTGTTTGTGTGCCTTTTATGACTGTGTGTCTGTATATCTTTGTGACTGTGTGCCTGAAAAATTATGTCTGTGTGCTTGTTTGGTTGTGTGTCTGTATGTTTGTGTATTTGTGCATGTATGTATTTTTGCCTGTATCTATGTCTATGTGGGAGAAAAAGAGAGATAGATAGGGGCTGGCGGGGAAGTAAGAAATACATAAGAGGTGTTGTAGGAGACACACTAAAGGGGGGTGTAAGGCACAAAGGGGCCAAAAGGATAAGACATTCAAGAGAGTGGATATGCAACACTAATGGGGGTAAGAAATTCAAAAGGGGGCTACGAGACACAGAGGTGAAGATGCATTGTTTATTTTTTTTGGGGGGGGGGGGCGTCAAAATGCATCTTCGCCTGTGTAGTCAAAAATCCTAGCACCGGCCCTGGTCACACCACCTGCTGCATTTGGGGGCTGTAGTCTCCCAGCATGCCATCACACCACCTGCTGCATTGTGGGAGCTGTAGTCTCCCAGCACGCCATCACACCACCTGCTGCATTGTGGGGGATGTAGTCTCCTAGCATGCTTTCACACCACCTGCTGTATTGTGGGGATTGTAGTCTCCCAGCATGCATTATGGAGCCATTAACTTTACAGAGTAATGTAGCATAGGGTAGGCATGAGAATCAGATGTGTTGTTCTCCTCAGAAGTCACCTCTAAAATATATGTTCTATTTGATGCTTAAAATATTTATTTCTTAATTTTGGGCTCAAAAAATATGGGTCATCTTTTACATGGGGGCGTCTTATACACGGAAAAATACAGTAAATTCCATTATGTTTTGGCTGAATTTTGTTTATGGATATAAACGTTAACCTATTGCCCGTTAACGGCGAGGGAGAGGTTAAAATTAGAAGCGATGGGGAGTAGAGTTTTTTCAATTCCCTGGCCTGAGGGATGGGAAACCCCTGAGACGTGGATCCAAAAATGGGCTGTTATCACTATGGGAAGTAGCTATGGAGACCCCCTGGATGCTTATTCTGCCACCTAGATGGAATTGGGAACCTCTGAAGATAGCCTGGACCAGGTTCTGACCACAACATACTTGATCAGGCCTGTGTTGCTCTGTCCCCCGACCACCAATTATGGCACTATTTGGAAGTGGTCCCCAGTGTGATAAGAGACACTAGCAGCCTGTGCCCCCTCTGTCCTCCTTCCATTACTCTGTCGAATTCTGCTGTTAGCACTGCATTTATAGTAGGGTTCTATATGCACCTCTAAATATAGCACGCCTTCTTTTCTACATATTATCTCTCCAAATTATCGTACCCAGATCCCTTTTTATCTCTCCCCATCTCCCATTATTTCCTTGAGTTTTAAAAACTTTTTTTATCACATATACAGATTTTTGGGAACATGACTGAGCAGCCATGTTGAGTCAGGTACCGCTGAGATGAAGTGTACACAGGGCAGTGCGGAGACCAGCAGTTGGCCAGATAACAGAATGTGCTCAGGCTGATAAGAATCCATATATAAGAAACTATTAAGTAAAAATTGGATGACAGTAAGGATAAGAACAGCTGCTGGACTGGGGGAAAATTCAGCCCGGGCATTTTTGAATTACAGCTGCCCAGTTACTTTCAATCCACCAATCAGAGTGTTATAAGTCAAATTACACAGCGTGGGAAAATTCCAA